GCGGCTTCACCCAGACAGCCAAGATCATGCAATGTTTTATTCGTCATAATAGGCCAATCCCAATATAGAAGGTTCATCTTCGTCTCGAGCACAATATCTGGTTCATACTTGTAGTATGCTGGAGCTTTATTCCCCAACATTCAAAGTTTCATTCCTAGTTCTCGTCAATGAGTTTTGCTAGTTGTTTATGTGTGCCTAAACAGGCACTCTTACGAAGTACATCGCTCATCCATTATGTGCTCAACAGACTCTCCGGCTTTACCACAACTTCTACATTTGTTGATATCACTTGTTTTTAAAATATGTTCTTCATAGTTTTTATTCATTACTCTATCCTGAATTGCTGTTACAAAATTTTCAGTTCGCGGGTACAAGTAAGCATTGCTCCTGCTTTTAGGATCCAGATTTGTCAATCATGGGATCCAACAGGGATTTCGGAATTTGACCATGAAGGGTCATTCGTTGCCAATTTTGTATTTCCCTCTTACGAGTTGGTATTTTAATAATCTTTTTTTTTTTTGTTATTTAAGGTCGCATCAACTACTAGGTCATTAGCGACCACTATTGCTTGTAACGGTATGGTAACTGTGTGTTGACACGATAATGATGATGATAGGGGGTGAAAAGACGAAACACAATACTACCATGCCCGAGGCGGGACTTGAACCCGCGATCCTTCGGTCCGAGTTCGCTACGGCACTACTGCCTTAATGATCTCGGCCACCGGATCGGCTTTATAATCTTGTCTTAGTTCATTTTTTTGCTTTGCTCACGAATAGGCCGATTTTGACTACACATGTATGCACCGGGGCTCAGTGGCAGCTTATCTCGGTGGCAGGTGCATGCAACTTCATCAGGAATCAGCATTTAGCAGGATCCTAGTTTTATCTCTTTTAATTTATTTATTTAATTATTTAATTAATCATTTATTTAATTATCTATTTAATTATTTATTTGTTTCGCGAATCGGCCTACATGGGGCTACGCGATACGTGTATCCCACCAGGGCTCAGTCATAATTATCAGGGTAGATGCACATTATTTTTCTATTCGGGGATTCAGCATTTTAATGCTGATCCCATTTTTACACCCCAACGTTTTAAGCCCTGAGGAGTGGGGTGAAATGATGATGATGAAATAGACACACAAAAAACATACTGAGACACACACAACCCAACCATGCCTGAGGCGGGACACCAACTCAAGATCCATTAGTCCGAGACCACCGCTCCACTACTGCCTTAACGATCTCTGCCATCGGACGTAACTATAATACGTTTACAAATAATACGAGCAAATGAGTCGATCACACAAAACAGGGGCTTGGGGCAAGAGAGACCTAGTGCATGGACACAAAGGCTGTGGGTACATACTCGCAGGTAAGAATGTTTTAAGCTGTGTTTGTGGCTACGTATGCGCTTTCCGAGTCCCTGCTGTATTACAAATAAACACATATCCTTCCATGATCTCTTGTCCTTACAAACAACTGTGTGCGAGATACAAATGCAATATGTAATATTGCAGAACTGAATCCCTTGACCAACATGCTACTAAATAGCACTAAGCGTAAGATGTTGCCAAGGGAAATCATATGTCAAAGCACAAGGCTGAGATAGACCTATGCGCCGTTCGAAGATTGTAAAATCGCTTTTAACTGCCAATATATCTAGAGGAGATGTAAGTACCCCGAAGGACATTAGTAGGTCTTTTAGGTATCGATAGATAGCATCTGAGAAGAGGGTGGGGGAAAACCAAAAATTTAGACCAAAGACAAGAGAATAGTAAACTGGTTATTCCTGAGTGTCATTCCTGAACACTAGTTTACTTTTACTGTTCTTACAGGAAATAGGTATTAATAACATGTAAATTTAATTGTCCTATTTCACAGATATTCAGTGTTTCGCAAATTCAACCGTGTTTTTTCTTTTAGTGTTGTTTTTTCGAACGGATGCAATACATCCACTCTGAACTTCGTTGCTTTCTTTGGTAATCATTGCATCTGGGTTTGCATTCGTTTTGTGCGTGCGCAGTGCTGCTGAGCGTAGTGTTGCTGCTGCTGGCGCTGGGGGCGGAATCACGTCCAAAAGGGGGTGGGAGAGGCAGCAGCGGAGGGAGCAGAGGAGGGAGCAGAGGATGGGGCAGACGATGGGGCGGAGGAGGGGGCGGAGGTTGGAGCAGAGGAAGGAACAGAAAATGGGGCTCATCAGGGATCGATTGGGGAAGCAGCACGTGGCACAGCCCTTCAACCACAAGCAACGACTACTTCAATAGCAAGAGATGGTAAGTTCAAATATTAAATGCCGAAAAAAGTAGCTACTAAACATCACAGTTAGATACAACCACAACAAGGCAGAAAGCTGCGCGTTGACAGAGTTTCACGGCCACAAAGCTCCGCAGTCACAAGTTTCACAATCGCTACGTTCCTTAGTCGCAATGTTCCGCCACACAGAGCGCTGCGGTCACAAAGTTCCTTCGTCGAAATTTTTGTCCACACCATTTCCGCGGACAGCAGGACCTGCGGTCGCAAAGTTCCGCAGTCAGGTCCCACGGACGCAAACTTCCTCGGTCAGAACAATCCACGTCCAGAAAGCTATATGGTCACCAAGCTTGGCAGTTACAGGTTCCACGGCCGCAAAGATGCACGGATGCAATCTTTCACATCATAATGTTCCGCGGTCAGAAAGCATTGTGCACACAAAGCTCCGCACACAGACCTCTGCGCTGACAAAGCTCGGTCGCAAAATTCTGCGGTCACAAAATTCTGCGGACACAAAATTCTGCGGACACAAAATTCTACGGACACAAAATTCTACGGACACAAAATTCTACGGACACAAAATTCTGCGGACACAAAATTCTGCGGACACAACATTCTGCGGGCACAAAATTCTGCGGGCACAAAATTCTGCGGGCACAAAATTCTGCGGGCACAAAATTCTGCGGACATAAAATTCCACAGTCACAGGTGACATGGTCAAAAAGTTCCAAGGCCACAAATATCCGCGAACAGAAAGTTCTGCGGTTTCGAAGTCCTGCTATCACGATGTTCTGCCGCGGTCACAGGTTTCACGTTCGGAACATCCCAAAGTCACAACGGTCCGCGTCCAAACAGCGTGAGGTTCCAAAGTTCTACACTGGCAAATTCCGTGATCGTAATGGTTACATCATTCGGCGGACTAAAAGCTCCGCAAACATCGAGATACACGATCGCGTCGTTCGATCGATCGCACGATCACACTCCACTGTCGCATCGGTCCACGGTCGCAAACTTGAATGTTCGCAAAGTTCCACTGCCACAACATTCATTCCACGGTTATGTTTCAGGTTCACAAAGTTTCAGGGTCAAAAAAGTCCACAAACCGTTCACGTCCGCCGTCAGAAAGCCCTGAGACCACAAGGCTCCGCAGTCACAAGTAATGCGATCAGAGAGCACTACGTTTATAAATTTATTTAGAGGTAACGGACTATTTTAAAAATTGTTGCCACGTCTGCTTTCAAAAAATGACAAGCAGGAGGAGTAAAAAAATTACACGTAAATTATATACTTTCTACGAATTTCCTATCCTTATTCTCTTAGACTGTGTAGCTTTAGATGACGTATCATTTCATCATAAATCTTTTGAATAAAAAAATTTTCAATATTTTATGATAAAAATAGGGAACATAAATGTGAAAAAAGCAGACAGTTCGTTCTAATTTTGGACAACTGAAACCATATTTAGGAAAAGGTTAATAGATTAGTTTAGAGAGAAATATTGGACGAGGTCTTAGTTATCTCTAGCGAGTGGTAAATTACACAACGTAAGAATGGGATTAGATACGTAAAATTGATAAAACAGTTTTTAAATATATATTAAAATGTAACTTTTATAACTCTTCTCTTCACTGTTCGATAGATTCAATCAGAATGGATACAAATCGTGAGCAAATATAATACTCTTTGAATGAGCCTCCTGCCTTACAAAAGGTATATTTTTAATTACTTCCCGATCATTGTCCTCGACTGAGCTGGTGGCCGCAGTCACGTGCGTACCCACGGCCGACTCTAGTACTGAAGTTGGCCGTGGCTCACTACGCGCTACCCCAGCGAGTATGTGGTAGCACGGCGACACATTCTCAACCTTGAAGAGGCACTATATTGAAATCGGATAACAGAGACCATGATCGTAGGCATTAGGGGCTCGATAGGACACGCACAGGAGCTGCACGGGCTAGCAGACAGAGTGGAATACTTAGTAAAGTGGATTTAAGAGTTGCGAGACGTAGCAAGAGAGGTTGGGAGTGGCGGGGATTTTGATAAAATCGCTTTAATTTTCACTGTGCGTAGAAATTAATTCTTCTCCCTTTTCTAACAGATGATTGTGATAAATAAATAGGAGCCAAAACAGGGTATTTATGTTAGGTAGTGGAGTTTATTAACTACACGCAACAAAGTCTGAGAATCAAGACTTGGAATACAAAAATATATATGTAATTGAATTAATAAACATAAAACCAATTGTAGTTGAATTCTTACTTCAATATGTCTTCATTTTAGGGGCTCATCTGACAGCAGTGAAAACACAAACTTTGATATCGACTTGTAAGTACGTTTTCAAATCTATCACATAAAAATGTTTTTTTAATAAACTACTGTAAACGAAAATCAAAAAATCATAGACTACATGTTTATTTCAAATAATGTTAGTGCCGTTGCCATTCACCTAATTAACTTTAACTGCCTAAAATTTTACTAAAGAAAACTACTTTACAAAATAAAAGAAATTCTACCGATGATTAATAATATACTACGTTCCTTATTTCAGCGACGACCTCAGCAAACAAATTGACGACTACTTCGAGTAAGTTTGTCTTACAATAAATGTTAAACTAGTAAGTTAAAAACATAATGAGGATGAAATCTAATTTTCACATTTCCCATTTTTAGGAGGCTCAGAGAAATCACTAGTAATCTAAAGTACGAAAATGAGTAAGTACATTTTCAAACCTATTACAGAAGGTGTTTGAGAAAAAACAATTGGTGTCTTTATTCATTTAATATGCCGAAATTTTGCAATGGACTAAATAAAATACGAAATGTGACTAAACAATTCTAATGATTATTGCAGCCCAAACACAAACACCAGTCGTATCGCCAACATGCGAGACTACTTCAGGTAACTTAACCGTATGATAGTACTTTAAACTATTCAATTAATTTCAAATTGAGAGTTAATTATAATTTTACCTTATCCCCATTTTTAGGAACATGACTGAACTTTATGAGAGTATCGACTTCAAATTCGGGTAAGTACATTTTCAAACCAAAACGTTTTTGAGTTTAACGCAGAATATTTTTGAGAAAAATATTTTGTCCAACTGTTTTCTTTACTCATCTAACAAAATTTAATTAAAGAGCTTAAGAAATTCCACCTTATTATTCTCATTGCAGCCCCAAAAAACCTACTAGCAGCAGCAAAACAGAGGACGATTATTCCAGGTAAATTTATTTTATGGGTCAAATTGAAACTATCCATTATAAATCACATTGGGAATGAATTTTAATTTCAACATATTCTAATTTTTAGAAGGCTCTCTGGAACTACTGATATACCGGACTCTCGAAACTTGTAAGTCCATTTTGAAGCTTCTCGCAGAATTTTATTTTAAGATATATTTTTATTTGCAATATGTTTCATCAGAACAATAGGAAAAATAAATTGACACTTTTGTATTGCCGTACAAAGTTCACTCACAGACCTTCGCGATTTTTTTTAGTGATGCAGAAAAATATCAAAGCGAGATAAGAAAACAGGTCTCTGCTGTTAAACAATAAATATATTTATCGAGAATTTTTATCATTTTCTGCGAATTTTTTATTCAATTCTAATGTTTTTTTAAAATCAATAACATTTCATTTCTCATATCAATAATAAGTAAAATTCATAATATTTCTAGTTCGTAAAAAAATGGTGTTCATAATGAATTGTAAATGCAGTTCAACGTAACGTACTTATTTATTTTAAATGATATTGTCGCCATCTTTCTTGATTTACACACTTTAATACGCTCAAACATTATATTAATGATATTTATTAGAAAGAAGAATTCCATTAACGATTCCTCGAAATTTATACTTTATTTCAGACAAAGCAGCAACATCGGTAGCAGCCAAGATCTTGACAACATGCCCAGGTAACTTTTTAAATGTTAAAAATTTAAACTAATACATTTAAATAACATTGGAAATGGGCTCCAATTTCAATATATCCGTGTTTCATCAGAACAATAGGGAAATGTGTTGAAAAATTTTAAGCAAATATTTTTTTTTACAATTTCTCTGGCTTATTTTAATCAAATTAGATTTCATTACGCAAATCGAAAAGCCAAAGTAAAATTCGTAATATTTTCAGTTTGCAAGACGTTTGTGTTCATTATAAATTGTGAACGCAATTTACTGAAACGTAGGTATTTATTTGAATGATATCATCTTTCTTCATTTACACGATTTATAACGCTCCACTTTTATATTGTAGATATTTACTTGAGGAATGAATCCCACCGATTACCCCAAACGTATTCTTTATTTCAGCCAAAGCAGCAACACCGGTAGCAGCCAAGATCTTGACAATTTGCCTAGGTAATTTTAAAATGTTAAAAATTCAAACTAAAATATTTAAATCACATTGGAAATGTGTTCTAATTTCAATATATCCGTATTTCATGAGAACAATAGGGAAATGTGTTGACACATTTGTATTGACATTCGAATAAGCTGCACTCACAGTTCTTCGCAGATTTTTTAGCGATGCAAAAAGTGTTTGAGAAAAATATCGTAGCAGTATTTTGCTATATGATCTGATATCTTTTTAGGTAACAGGTCACTGGTGGTAAACAATTATACAGTTATCGGGCATTTTTAGCATCATAAGCAGTGCTTTTTCCCATTTCTCAGGCTTCTTTTAATCAAATTAGATTTCATTACCCAGATCAATACGAGGGAGTAAAATTCGTAATATTTCCAGTTTGTAAGGGGTTTTGGTTCATTATGAATCGTAAATGCAATCCATTGAAACGTAGGTACTTATTTATTTTGAATGATATCATTTTTCTTTATTTACACGCTTTATAACTATCAAATTTTATACTGTAGATATTTACTTGAATGAATTCCACCTATGATTACTCCAAACATATTCTTTATTTCAGCCAAAGCAGCAACACCGGTAGCAGCCAAGATCTTTACAACGTGCCCAGGTAATTTTAAAATGTTAAAAATTCAAACTAAAATATTTAAATCACATTGGAAATGGATTCCAATTTCAAAAATTACTGTTCTCAAATGACTCCCTGGTAACAGTGGCCATGGGAACGTTCCCTGTTCGTAAGTACATTTTCAAATCAGAGAGAAAATGTTTGAGAAAAATATTATAGCAAGTTACCTGACATCCATATCTTCCCGTACACCACCTAAGTTTCCTGAATGTTCTGACGTTTTTTCCACTTCTTGCGAAGTGACTTTTTAAATGTTCTTTCCTGTTGCATTCAATTTCAAAGTTCCATTAAGAGAAGGTAAAGTTCTTAAATTTTTCAATCAATTTTTTTCTTAACAATGCACCGTGAATAAAACCAAGAGTATATTACATATGTATTTATTTTCAATGAGTATCATTATTAATATTTTTAAAACATTTTAACCATAGCATTACAAATGGGAGGGTTAAAAGCACTCAGATGATTGTTTAGTTTTAAATTTTGCAATTTTTAGGTTGCTTAAAATAAATGACATTGATTATGATGAGCCCTTCGGTCGAAAAATCATGCAATTCTTCGCAATTCTTCACAATTGTTTGTTAGAATTTGAATTATTACCGCGTATTATGTTGAGGATGAAATAAATGTAAACATTCACTCGAAAACTAGTAATTCAGAATACATTTTGGAATTATTTTAGTATTTTAAGTATTAGCAATGTCTTAAACTAAATTATCCAATGAGGATTGTAGAGCTATGAGCTTCCAAAATAAAAGTAATATTAATTTTTAAAACGACATCTAATATATTATATATCATTTGGATTGTATCATTGTAAAGAACCTGTAACAAGTAATGTACTTTAGCTTTTGGGTCAATAACCCCCATCTCGATCAGGTTTTCGTCCAGTTTCCCTGATCATCGAGCAAATGCTGAGATGGCCCTTTTGCTTCTGGACATAAATGTAACTTCAAATTAACTTTTCCCCATAGCATGTCAAGCACAGTTTTTAACTGTTTTTGACGTAAATAAATAAATAAATAAATTGCCTTTAACTCTACATAACAATGTAATTGGTTTTGTCATTAATATTAAATACTAATATTATAGGGAATAGTATTTTTTCAAGTGTAGAACTGAAGAATGAAACATATTTTTAATTCAGTGAGAACACCTGTTCTATAATAATTGATTCAAAGAATTAATTTAGCAAAATTCCGTAGAATCAATTTTCAAGCAGTAGGCCCCTCCCCACCCCAAATTTCATCTACAGACCTTCTACTAGGAAAAATAATTATGATTATTCTTAAATTTGTTTATTGCAGTCGAAATAGCAACACTGATAGCAGCAAAAACGTTGACGAATTGTACAGGTGAGTTTATTATACCAGTTTGTATGTGATCAAAGTACAAACTAACCAGTTTAAAACTTTGAGACCGAATTCTAAATTCAACATACTCCTTTTTTTGGATGTGCCCTTGCGACTTTTGCAACAGATGTTTATTCCAGAATATATTTGATAAATGTATTAAAATGTTCTTATTTTGCAATTTACATTATTAAAATCAACAAACAAATTTGATTCGTTGTACCAAGAATAGTCTTTTTCCCGGCGATCATTTCGCCTTCTTTTAGGGGATGTACATTCGTACTATTAATATTAACCAGGACTCTCGCGGGGTGTGTAAATGTAAAATTAGATGAGCCACAACAGCATATATCTTCTTGGGTTACTTGTAACGGCTGTGTAATATAAGCAACTAATTGAATCCGAAAATTGAAAAAAATATTATTCTGGGTTGGGATTCGAGTTTGAACCCACTATCAATTTTCTATCAATTACATCAAATTTACGGCTTCTTGGGGTTTTAATCAACATAATGTTTATATAATAACTTTTACTACACTGCACGTTATTTCATAACTGGTATATAATCAATATAAATATATATTGCACGTTACAATAATTATACAAATGTAAATGTTCGCGAACTGTGTAATTTTCACTTGAGTTTTAAACTGAAATAAAATAGAACTTATACCAATACTGAAAGGTATTTTAGACGATAAAACAGGTGTGTTTTAAATTTAGTATGAATTATCATTGTTTGACAACCTTAGAGTGCAGTAAAAATGCAGAGCGAATATTCAGTAATATTTAATGGTACTAGTCTTCTACCTTTCCCGTATACATACGTATATACGGAGTAATATACGTAATATAAGGAAAGTTGTGAAATACTGTGGAAAATCGATTTCGAAATTTCAACGGAAATACACGATTTGTGGTCCCCTGATACGTAGGTTATTTTGTTGTTGTTTTTTGTTGTTGTTTTTTTTTTTTTTCAAAATGTCTGTCCGTCAGTCCGTCCGTCCGTCTGGTGTATAAAAACGACACTAGCGCTTCAACCATGCGTAGGATTTTTTCCAAATTGAAGAAACCCCTGTCCGTATGGCCTGAATCAATGTTCCGCAATTTTGAAAATCATTCATTAGATTTTGGGAATGAAATATCTACCCTTAAACATTAATAAATATAAGACCTTGAAATTTTTGAAATCGCAAAAGCCTATTATTTTTACTTACAAATTGGAAAACCAAGTGTTAGGGTGGATCATTTTAAAGATTTTGAGGCGCAATTTTAATTTGACCTACACATCTACTAAACTCCTAAAGACCAATCGATTCCACGTTTTAAAAGACGTCTACCCACTGAATTTCAATCTCTTCACTCATTGAGAATGCTACATTTAACACTTGTTCCACCAATTTCATTATACTCTTCACATGGATAAACAACTAGTTTACGTAAAAAAATATAATCTGTTTAACAAAAATTTGTTAATTTCGTGGCAAGAGAAACAAATTTACCCTGTCACTACTTAACCCATAATTACAGTCAAATTTTTACCTGAACTAATATCAGTTCTCAGAAAATGCATAAATATTTGTTATTCTTGCATAATCAATGTAATAGTCACTAGGGGCGGAGAATGAAGTGTATTTTTTTTTATTTTCACTTTAGAACAATGCCTTTTCATATAGAAATTCATTTTAGTTTGTGACAAAACGAAATTACCAATATTTTAATGTAATTTTGTGTATTTTTTGTTGATTTCGACGAATAAGAAATTTTTAACCTTTTTACTTCAATTTATTGCATTCTTCGCTGATTTTATCGATTTTAATACCATTTTAATTACCATTAAAATATTATCAATCAATATTTACGAGAAAATGTTCACCACAGAAGTCCCGAGTAGCCTATTCGATTTCTTCGCTCATATATTGTGATGTCAGCCGTTGTGAGTACTATGTATCCAAGGTTCCTGTGACGTTTATCTGCGCCATTGTCAGTTCGGCCGATTTCATGATAAATAAAGGCAGAGATTTTCTTTAAAGAACAGTCCAAACCAAAAGTTAGCAAGCTGAGTTCACGTGAACAAATGGAAAAAGCCAGTAAAATATCCAACAGCTTGAATTGTTCACATGAAGTGGCTTTCATAAAATTTTTTACGTCATTGTTCTTTATTTTTAAGGCATTTTTAAACCATTTTAAAGGCATTTCATTGATCATTTTTAGCAATGTTTTAGTCTATCAAAATCCCTCCCCTTAATAATAACACTGATACTTAGCAATTCGTGTCTAAAGTATTGTTGAGTAAAATAAGTTGAAAAATTCCTTCGATTAATATGTGAAACAACAGCCAAAAGACTTTTGTATTGCCGTTAACAAAAAAAAACTTTTCTCAGAATGCACTGATTGTACAACCATGTGTCGTTTGACAATTGTGTTGAGGATTGATTGATCAACTTTTGTCTGTTAATTAAATTACTAACAAAGAATAAAATACTTAAGCTTTTTTAAAAATTAATTGTTATTGAATTTGGCAATTGCCTGTTACTACAAATAAATAACAAAAACATATATAATACGAAGAAATGGAACGCGGAAATAGTTAGCTACCAACGTGATAAATGACGAAGGATAGCTGACTGAGAAAATAGAGAGAATATATGAATAAATACAAACAAATATATCTCGGGGCCGACAATATCCTGGACTGAGAAATCTCAGTGGCTAAGCCGCTGCCTTTGCCGCATCGTCAACCGCGAGGACCAGAGTTCAAGTCCTGACGGTAGCGGATTTTCTGCACCAATACACAGCAGCTTGAAACTCTGTCAGTGAAGGAAAATTCAAGCGGCCAGGTACTATTTCTCCGATCAACTGCGGGGTACTGCTAACTGCTAAGGTTATAAGTCCCGTAAGTGTCGTGCATTTTTTCCTCTCGGGAGTTGGCGGTGATCTTCCCCCGGTAGATGGTGAGCTCCAGCGCCGACCTACCGTCGGCTAGCGAGGTTTTCCCCAACAAGTTATCGCCCATCAGCGGGGCACCGCCCCAGCCGAGACAAGGTCTAAGCACCCGACCGGTCTCCCGGCGTGTGTGGTAGTGTAGTGCGTGATAGAGTAAGTGTGTGAAAGTAAGGGGTGCGCATAAGACAAGGACGAGGGAGAAAATATCGCGCGCGGTCCGTGGCCCGTTTGTTATGGTACACATCCGGCATTCGCCTGCTGTTGAACGGAAAAACCACCATTCCGAGCAGCCGGCCGCTAGAATGCAGAGAGCGGCTGAATTCGATCTAGCTATCAAGCCAGAGTCGAAAATTCTGCCACCGTCGGGACTTGAACGTAGAACCTCCCGGTCAGAGGCACTGCAGTGACACGAGTTGATGCCGCGAGCCACCTCTCCCGGCAATAAACTGGGCACTGACCGCGCCAATCTTTTATTCCTCTGTCCTTCAATGCACACAAACTTACGTGCACTATTTTGCCTCACTCTGCTCGGGAAATGAGAGCTTGTCCTGGATGGGGCGGAGCGTAGCTCGGGGGAGATACGCGAAGCGGAAACCCGCAAGTCAACGGGCAGGCCTGCGCCAGATCTCACGTTCCAGTAGGGGAGGAACACTGCCATCTCTCAGGATGATATAAAACGCACTTACGGGGCCAATGACCCTCTCCGAGCAGGTGCTCTGAGGGTTGTTAACGTGTAACGCTCGTTGATTTCAGAGTTGCGCAAAACAAATCGACAGGCGACTGGAGCTGGCTTGCGGCGGCGGCGGGCCCCCGACCCAGAGCCGAGGGGCTGTCGGCGCCAGAGTTCCACACCTACAACCGCCGGCCGGGCTGGCGCGGATCGGTGAGTTGGCTCGAGGGCACGCCGCATTACAGTGTGCAAAACTTACCCGCACCAAAAGCCAACACCGAACGCACCGTACGACTACGAACAAGTACATCGCCTATAAAATGGTCGTGCGTGGTGAATCCCAGCCGGTTCGGATGGCCGAGGTCGCTAAAGCAGTAGTGCCGTGGCGATCTCGAACCCAAGGATTGCGGGTTCGAGGCCCGCCTCGGGCATGGTTGTATTGTGTTCGTCGTTTCACCATCATATCATGTCATCCTCATAGTTACCATACCGTTACACGCACTAGTGGTCGCTAACGACCCAGTAGGGAATGCGACATTAAATAACAAAAAAAAGCTTAATCCCAACCAAGGAAGGAAACACTAATTTCTTGCAAGAAGTAGCATACACATGCCTCACCGAGCACGTGCTTCATCCGTGCTCGCGCGCAACCAGGAGTCGGCAGTGGGATTCGCGCTTATTACTGCTGGGCCGCGCCGGTATTTGGCCTCCGCTCTTATCTGCGCTTTCCGAGGCACGATCGACCCCAGACATTTTGCTCTGCTTCCACGACTTTCCAGAATAAGAGGCGAATCGCTGCAGGAACGATTGCGAGAACCACAAAACTATTAAATCATCTAACAAATATCTGCAAAAAAGCAATCAGTAAATACAACCAAGAAAAATAATAACAAATTTAGTGATAAACTAAAAACTAAAACCAATTCTCTTTGGCAATTCACAAAGAAAATTCTAAGGAAAAGAAACAGCATTCTCCCACTGTCAACTGATACTGGGAAAAAATATTCGCCTACGGAGAAAGCCGAGATTCTAGCAGCCCATTTTGCTAGCACATTCACTTCTAATGACTCCATACAAAATGCCAAACATGCTGAAATTTTAAAATTTTCAAACGCTCCTTTATATAAGGTTCCTCACACAATTAAATTCATCTCTCCCTATCAAGTTAAATAAATAATCAAAAAATGCCAAATAATAAATCCCCAGGACATGACCGAATTAATACTACCATCCTCAAAAGAATGTCAATCGATGCCATTACATTTTTAAACAATATATACAACTCCATACTAAGAAAAGATTATCCCCAATCATAGAAACACTCAATAATACATCCAATAGCAAAAGCAAATAAAAATCATCCACGTGCGGTAAATTATAGACTAATCAGTCTTTTACCCATCATGTCAAAAATTTTAGAAAAATCAATTCTCGTCACACTAAATAAACAAATAAGTATAACAAACTCAGTTGTACCTTATCAATTCGGTTTTGTATCCCAACAATCAACGACGCACCAGCTATTGAGGCCAACTGAACACATCCACTCTGCTTTCCAAAAGGGATTTCACACCACCACTGTCTAGATTGTCATCTAGCATTTGACAGAATATGGCATCCAGCCCTATACTAATGTTTTGGCAATAGGCAAAATTGAGTATCTCCTAATCTAGTGTGTCGAATTTTAAAATATTTGGTGGTATTGTTTGCGGTAAAAAATAGTAGTTTCAATTTGGTGTGTTTAATTCCGTCTGTGAAGGTAATACGTCAATGGAAAATGGTGACGGTTTTGAACGATTTATTAAAAACCATCTATACAAAAACCTAAGTGTGCTACTGCTGGACAGCCCCCTTGCTTGCATCAAGCACATTGAAGACACAAAAACAGAAGTTCACAAAGAAAAGACAGACTCGCATGTAATCCGCCGCGTATAATACGCTTTACCATTAGGCATTACTGTGCAAAGGCCCTTAATCAGGTTTCCATAGAACATGCATGTTCCTTAAGCTGCAAGAATTGTTTCTGATGCATTCAATACAATGAAACCTTTTGGAAGATTTATTACATTTTTGAGGCTACCCCTACTTGTCTCGCGTACTCGAAGTTGAAAGCATAGGCTTCCGTGGGCAGAGCCAGTATCTGATTGGCTATACGCGCGACGTCGTAATAAGAGAGGCCAACATTTCGGCCGTCGTGCTCAATCCTCATAAGGACGAAATTCCTCCGTTCATCCCGGAGAGTCAACTATATTTTTATTTACTTGGCTGTCTGGATGACGCCGCGTCCATGGCAAAGGTGCCGACGTTTCGGCCGCCATTTTCGACCTTCCTGAGGGCGTCGTGCACTAAAGCCAATTACATACTGACTCCGGCCGCGGAAGCCTACACTCTAACTATATTTTCGCCGCAAATTTGCAATAATTTTTCTTTACTACGTATGTAGTACGCGAGAAAGTAAAAATAAAAACTTCTACCAGCAATATTGAGAGGACGCGCAGGTCAGGCGTCAGCGCAGGCGCGTCAAGGGGGAAAGACGTCTTGACGTTCACAAATTACGCAAAGACGATTGTTTCAATTTATTACTGTAAATAATTTATTCCTCCGAATTTCGAATTGTCACAAATACGCCATATGTTATCAAGCGAAGTTGGTATGCAAAGGGCGACGCTAGTGCTACTACCTTTGCACTTTGTATTTTTGTCGACAGTGCCATTTCATGGCTTTATATTTCGATGCCACAAAAATAGTTTTACCTTCTCGTTATTTACATGACCAACTTTGGACCCCTCTATCATTTTTTATATTATGTCAAAAACCTGATATGTTGGAGTGAAACGGACACCGGATTCGGATTTAGCGCCCCACAAACGGAGACAATATGGTGTGATCCCCAGACACGAACACAATTTTTTTGTGAAGCTGTGAAATTATTATTGGCGTATTATCCTATCCCATATCTAAGCTCGTTTTCCTAAGAACTCATTCAGACAGCTATAATCTTGAAATGTTTTATTTTATCCTTAATATTTTTAACTATTATTGAACTTTCCAAAGCAGTTATTTTCCCTTTTATCTTGATAAAAAAACATCATTATTGAACATTAAACTGTAATATTACATGAGAATGTTCATTTATAGTACAAACTATACAGAATGGTGAATTAAAACATTTTGAAAATATGATATTCAAAAAGAACTGTTTTATTACGAGCATGAATGTAAAATGCAAACTAGCATACGTACTTAAACACGTTTGCAAATTAACAAATGAAATTCTTGTTCTACGGACAGGTAGCAGACTTCTTCGAGGCTTCGTCAGAAGAAGATGGCCGAATGGTTGTAGAGATGGAACATCGAGATGACAACGAGAAGCCCAAGTGTGTCGACCCGTCTTGCAGTTCCGAAGTATCTTGCCTAGTTTTATGTACACCTGTTGCTTGTACACGCACGGATGAACTGCCATGCAATTTTACTTGCTTTGCGACTACATGCACCAAGACTGAAGTAATGTTAAACTCTGCCGAAACGACCAGTATTTGCGATGGAGAATTCACAACAAACGGGTCCTGCAATCCAACAAAACGCGTAGTGGATTGCAACGGGTTTGGAGCGTCGTGCAATTTCACCTGTTCTGCCATTCCTTGCTCCACTACAGGAGGATTCTGTAATTTCACGTGTCCGTCAGTTCCTTGCAATACGGGAGAAAGTTCGAGTTGTACATTGCTTCGACTAAATGTGACAAATGTATTCGAGAATCAATCTTCTAGTAACTTTACATGTTCAGTTGATTCTTGCGATAACACCGAACGTTCTTGTAACCACTCATGCACCGTTATTTCAAGTAACAGTTCTGAATCAGGCCAACCTACTGAAGAAGCCGATGAAGTAACAGAAGATTTTGTACTTACAACCACGGGTGTACCATCTGAGGATGTCAGTTTCTTGAGTCAAGACCTTATAGAAAACACCACGCTCAGCTCAATAGAGGATACTATTACGGAATCAACTTAATTTCTCTTTGCCAAAAAGAGTTGTTAAGGAAATTGTCTCAATATTCTGATATAAGACATACTGATATGACATAAATATTTCATAACTAAACATTGATTGTTTACAAACAAAATATAAAATAAGGGATTTGTATTTGATAGTGTTTCCCATAAGTTTACCAAACCTTCAGTTCCAGAAATATCAGTAGGTCGTTAGTGCATTACTTCTTAGCCATTATATTTAAAGTCACTTCAAAAATGTAAATTTATACAGTTAGATATCTACAAAATTGTAATAAAAATATTTTATTATATTTTGTATACCCATTGTGAAAATTGTTTCTGATGAACTTTTTTTCAAGATGTTATTTGCGATGCAGTTTCTAACAAAATAAAACACCAAACGTTAGTTTAATGGTTTAACGTAAGATTAATAATAATGAGCACATGGAATATGCTCAAATGTAATTTGGTGAAAATATTCCTGGTTTTTAATTCACCATTGTATTAATTATTGTAGTGAAATTATTTCAAGCATTGTCAAAATTGGTAATAAGTAATTTTTGAAAGAAGATAAAAAAGGAAAAGACAATATATAAGCCATTGAGTATTAAACATAATAATAAACATTATTTCGCAATATTTAATTGATTATTACCTATACTATACTACTTTCAGATGAATACACGTTATAATTCCTGCTGATGGTGCAATTAGTCTCATTTGTACAACAATGTTCAAAGAGCCCAGGCACAGACCACAAAAAACACGTACGTGTTACTTACGAATTAATTCAGCCTTCGACACAGTAAAACATTTCATCTTACGAAAAGACTTATTTGAAAATTCATTGCCCTGTGAGTGATCACTTTCCTCTCGGAAAATTAAAACTCCAGGAACTCGGGAAGCCAAGCTAAGATACGCCATCGTCGACAACAAGTATTTTGAAGTCGCGTTTAGGGGTGAAGTAATTGGTCTGAATCAAGTTTAAAACCTTCAGAAAGTGTGAATGCAAAGTGGATGGATTAAAAACAAGTTGTGCAAAAATAAATGGATTGAAAAGACAACAAAACATTGCATTTGTTTAATGAACCTATGAATGTTAAAACGCGGGTTTTAACAAAAGAATCCACTGCTGTTTGAAATGGACGGCAGGAAATAATACAAAAAATAAATAATTAATACTCTTATGTTGTAGGAGAACCAGATCTCAGTAGATAGATTTCATTTAAGAACTCATAAACTGTCTTGTTAAAATAAATTTGACCATGAAAGGAGAAAACTATAATTATCATCCACTTTTATATGAATTAGTAACATTAAAATTAAAAGGAGAAATCTGTTCCGTTTAAAACTCAATGTTCAAAAGAAGTAGTGTTCAGTAGTTATCTATACTACGATTTGAAATCACATATTACTTATTTTTAATATCTTACAAAGAACTTTATTTGAATATATTTTGCCTACGAAATAATACATTTTCTGCTGTTTAACGCAGTTGATTGATTCATCATAATACTTTTAATTATACCTTTGGAAAATTGGAGTATTCTATTAAAATACAGCAAAAATCCACTAGTAGAAATTGAAAACAGCTACTTTAATCTAATATTACATATCCTTCTAACTCAATCAAAGCTAATGGAAAACTACACAATTATACTAGAGCAGGCTGTTGTGACACACGAGTATGCAAAATTGTCCTACTAGCTAGATCACAAATTAAGCACGTTACTGTGCACATCGGCTGGAAATCGTAGGTACGCACGGGCAGATGCAAGAGAATACGCGTGCTCTACGCGTAAAGAGAGCGCATTTAAAGCCTTTTTTGTCGCTGTCATTGTGGATGCTCAGCCGCCATGTTAGCAGGTCACGCAAGAGAGATGGCAATCAACGGAAAGTATGTGCTGTTTTCCTGTTTCGAGCAGCAGCCTCCGGCGAGTGGCGAGCAGCCATTCCGCGCAGTCTCTGCGAAGAGAGCGTTCTACAGTGCACGAGAGAAAGAAGCGAAGCAAATTTGGGTTTAGACAACGACCGATCGCATAATTAATCTTCCGTCCACAATGAGGTGGAGGAGTGATAATGATAACGTGATAATGATGATGAACTTCATACGTCTGTATAAAAACGACAGTCAATTTTATGTGACGCTTTGGTTTACGCCTATGTCATCTTTCACTTCACTGTTTCGACTTCATTTCGTCTCATCGGCTTGGGAGGTGTTGAGATCAGAAACATGGCTGACCACATACCCAAGGACAGTAGTTGGGAGATTCTGGAAACCTTAGGATCAAATTTTATGTGAAGTACATGTAACTGCTTAAGGCCAAGTAGGGCTAATTTTAGATTAAGTCAATCAATGTTCTCATAGTCCTAAATGAGTCGATAAAGTTCGAAGTAGATACAGATTTCAAGCAATTGTCGGATGATGTTGACATTGCCAATATGTGGATAGGGTATGGGAAGTACGTCATGGTGACGAGGAACAGCAGATATTTTGTGATAAACAGGGATCAGAGTGCTGGTGGGACGTGTTTAAGGGTAGTGAGAGACAACGTGTATAGTTTCGAGAACCACGCCGACTTGGTGGCGCAGGGCATCAATAGATGTCGCTCCAGTGCCTCTGGCCGGGGTGTCCTAAGGTTCGAGTTTCGACACTGGCTCGACAGCTACTCCCTCAACCGCGGCCTGGAAGAGAATTCCAACGGCCGGCTGCTCTGATCGGTATTTCCGAGGCTTCTCCGAACAACGCCAGGCGAATGCCGGAGCAGTACCCTAACAAACGGGCCACGGACTTTCCTTTCTTCTTCTTGACCTATCATCACCCCTTACACCCATTTACACGCGCTATGTACACTTTCTATACTTATGACTATAGCAGTTGTCACGCCCGGAAACACGAAAAAACAATGTGTTTATTATACGCATATTTTTTATGCAAAATACTTCTCGCAAATACACACGCCGACTCACACTGGGGCAATCACCTTACCGTCTTCCGTTGTGGCTAATGTCAAAATTAGTAGGATGAAGTCAGAAATGATCCGTTTATTGTCATTCATTCAGCTTTCTCCACACCGTTTCACTAACGGGCGAATTTACAGGCTATAGCTAACAAAATCCGTTTTCCGATGATGGCTGACATTCAGGGGTTGATTCAACGAGAATCGAATCAGCATCATTCCATTCAAGAAGATCCTTATAGAGAGTCGCCTTCATCAATCGTTTGACACACTTTTGAGTGCCGTATTGTCTCTGTGGTATTTTCGATCCAGAAGCGTCATTCTTGCTCATCTTTGGTCGTCTACAAGCACAATTTTGTGGCGGCGTCGGGTGCGAGTAACACACAGACACGGAGTTGTTTTATACAGTTTTATTACACTATATACACACTCCTCGGAAACTAGTGCTGCACTCGCAGCACTGCACATCTCTGAGGCATCCCCGCCCCAGCCTGACGCAAACCCCAGCGGCTTGGCGCCACTCCTGGTCTTTTGTCCCGTCGCAACCGCCACACCTCGCTGCCGAAACTCGCGATAACCCCTGGCGGGTGACAAGTGCCCTTCACACCGCGATTCGGTTCAAACTCGAATGACCACGGCTGGTTACTCTCCAGCCGCCTCGCGAGGGGTCACGTGACAGACCTCACATGCCGGCGGCGTCCTCTCATCCCGAAACGTGGGCCTGTTGGCAATTTTGGAGTCCAGCTGCACCGCGGCTAGACTCACTCATCATTTCCCTCTGCGTCAGTTGACACCCGCGTTCCGAGACACGCCCACCCGGGCCCTTGGGGAGGGGCCCACCTCTGGTGGCCTTCCGCTTGCCGCCAAAGGACTGCCCCCGCCCCCTCGCTGGCCTTCCGACGTGTGTTGTTGTCCAACCGGCCCCTTGGCAGGACGTTACAATATTTAATTTGGAGTTTATTAGCGTGGTCTGGGAAGGGATAGCACGAATGGAATTGCATTTTAATAATTTTCAGTTGCGAGAGACACGTGACTTAGAGGACAATTTCACATTTCATCGCTTCATTTTGAAATGAAATTATTTCTGAGGTGCATTTGACTGTTCTTGGTTTTCTCTGTTTTCTGTCTTAATGGAACGTGAACATTGCGAAAATAAATGTTCTCTGTAACAATGAAAAGTAGTATGAAAAGATACTTTGAATAATCAAGTGAAAGGATATCCAGTTTGCACTCTTAGATTTCAAATAACACGCCGGAAAGGAAAAAATGGCTTCATTTAGAGAATGAATTCCAAAGGTGACAGATTTAAGCTTCAAATATTGAATATCTCATCTGTCATGCGTTTGTTTTATTTATTAAATTTAATTATATAAATAATAATATCGTATGATATCATGGAAACATCACAAAGATATATAGTATATAATAAAAAAAGTAAAATATCACAAAAAATTTGTGATGGCCCCCTCCAAAATGATCGGATGGATCAGCCTCTGCACACGTTTGACAACACGAAGTAGTCTACAGCTGCGTCCACGACACAGCCTATTCAAATTTATAGTAATTTTAGCATAAATTTAAAATTTTGTACAATACGTGTATTGGTTTTAGACAATAAAGTATTATAATACTGTGTGTATATATATATATATATATATATATATATATATATATATATATATATATATATATATATTGGCCCCCTGTAAGGTACTAAAAATTTAGTTCTTAGAACTTTCCGACTGACTACCGAGAAATGTTCTTCTTAACGTTGAGTCATTCTCATCAGTCCTACGCAAACGCCACAGTTCTTGGCACGTCAATTCATTCAACAGAAGCGAGAGCCTCTGTCACCGCATGTCTACGTAAGCCAGAAGGAAAAGCGTCAACTTGCAGCCGCCCCGCCCCCCTTCACCTGTCCATCTCACTCTCTTGTTGCGTCCCTCTTCTCTTCTGGCACCTTTCACCCAACTGGGCGGCGGTGGTTTCTAGTCCAAAATGGCGCCTCAAGGCAGCTCCAAGGCTTCCGCCCCCCACTTCTTGCTCTTGGGCGGTGGAGAGGGGGGCCCGCAAGCAGAATCCTGGCCGTCGGGGCCGGTGGTTCCCGACCGTGGAGGATGACGCGCTGCGACCGGATACCTGCGGCGGCGGCGTGTCGTGACGGAGGCTGGCCAGCACGTGACCCTGCAGTCGAGCTGCGGCCAGCACAGCGGTGGGAAGTGCTCTGAAGAGGGTGCGAGTGTGTGTGTGTGCGCGGGTGCCAGTGAATGACCGTGTTTGTTGTGCGCGGAGTGAATATCGGAAGAAACTAGTGCGCGTCAAGGTTGCGGGAGCATGCGTATCACAAAGACGCTCGCAGCAGGTGAGTTTTGTTTTTGTGTGTCATGTTGGCAGAAAGTTCTGGGCAAAGAGGCCCGCCAGGGTACACAACAACGCTTTCGTTTACTTTTTCAATTTAGTGGATTCCTTTTATGGTTGTTTGTCATGAGAATTTAGGAGAGCGATAGTAAAGCAAGGTCGGAAAATGTAGTATTCGGAATGGAAAAGAAAACATTTGGTGGAAATCTGCACGAGCGCCGGTTTTATCAAACTAATTTGACAGCTACTTTGCAAAATATTAAAAAATGTAGTTCGACAGATTTACTGCACACTGAATTGCAAGCACGTCTATGAGCATTCAGTTTCTCCAATCTATACGACTCACATAATGTCGATGTTATGTGCAAATTTAAGCACCATAATCGTTTCCACTCTATTACTATCCTAAAGGATCTTGTGTTCTGGCTATTATTGTATCTGCCGGATACATGATACAAACTTCATAATATTGGTAATTTTTAGAATAGTATTGGTGGAATATATTGTAAAGAACAAAAAGTAAACCTGATTTTATCCTTTTAATAATAACAACTACAAAATTACAAAATCTTGTAAAAAGATGTTATTGTTGGATTCTAAGAAATTGTTACACATTTAAGTTATAGAAAAACATTAATTAATAATAATTGAAAATAGGAAACAGAAAACCGTCTAAATAATGAAGTCTAAAGAACAAATTACACCCAACTTTTATTGCTCTGTTTTCCTAGGTCACACGCTTCTGTACAAAGAAAAGCACAATGCTGCAGGAATAAACATTTCCCACTAGTCTTGTAGTCCCATAAGGATAACAATGCCATGAAGACATCCGAAATATATTTCAGAGCAAATTGTGTATTTTTATACCACTCATCACGTAAATCGTATAAGAAAATAAGTCAAGTGAACAACTAAATAGTAGATCAAGATAAATTACATTGCACACATTCAAGAATATCAGGGTGACCACGTTTTCTAGGTCGAATTTCCCCGACTTTTCCAAGTTATTCAGGTCATTTTCTTTTTTCTATGGCAAAATGTGTGAAGTATTCCGTGGTACTCAAATAAAATATTAAATAACGCACGACTTTGGTCGATATTAAGTGTTATTAACAGTCCTTTTCGCCTTTGCATTCCAGATTCTCTTGCACTAATACATTTTAAGAGAGACTGATGCACTTCGATTCAAAACACACAGCATCTTCCTTTATATATTTTTAGCTCTTAGATTGCCCCGTAAATAGACAAAAATAGCAATATTTGCTTAACTAAAGAATTAGCCGTTTACATTCTCTGATGTAGAGCATAGTTCTGTGATGTAGTACACAAAGAATCTTCAAAAACAGATTTTTCAACGTCTGTGTGGAATTATAATATTAATTAAAATTCAGAACATTTCTCGAGAAACAAGGAAAATCGGTTAAAGTAGGGTACATGGTACACCTTAGAGAAGCGTGTCGGGAGCCCTCAAATTACGCTAAGCACTCAGATAGTAATGAAAAAAAAACTTAGCAATAGCCGATTTTTATGGCGGTTTGGGTTTAAAGATAGGTCATTACTAATACCTGAATTATACTCAACTTGCTTCCCGCAAACCATGGCCCCTTCCGCACGGAACACTTTCGCACATGAGGAGTGGCCCCTTTCTTGCTTCACTTCAACTCGAAACCATCACACAACTGCTTTCCCTTGGCCAACCTCATCGGAGTCCTGCAGTATCATACCACGTTCTTGCGCCCATCTAATGACAGCCAAAAACCCCCTTCGGTGCAACGCGTAAAGAAACCCACATCTATTCTCACCACCGTAGCACAGGCACTCAAAAACACAAATCACAATGAATCTGAAGGACGCAAGATGCTTAACTGTAAGTCAGCAACCCCAACGCAGAAAATCACGTACACAGAAACACAATTTACGTGCCACCACACACCATTTCGTAATGAAGTTTCGACAAGATACTAGGGTGAAATTGCCTCCCTCCCCCTTAACTTCTTTTTACGTCACGTTCCTGACCAATTACGAGCCATCAAAATTATTCCAAAAGTGTATTTTTTTTACATTTCTTTAAATCGCCCACGCTATATTTCCTCTTCGCCGGAGCGGCGCGAAGTGCCGGTTTAAACGACTTTCTTAGACCGTACCGTACACTAGACTTCAGCCGGTAATGATTTTATTAAGATACATGAAAATTGAATAATTAATGTTTATTTTCTGTAATCATTTGGTTAATATATTGTGAAAATCTCCCTCCATAAACTGTTGCCCAGGGACTCCGATAGTTAGATATTCCACCCTGTTCGGAAATGTCGGTGAATTTCAATTTACATGTGGGTCAAGGAAGAAAGATTAATTTACTAATTATCGTTAGCTCAACCTCTAATCCACATCTAATTGAAAAACATAGAAGCGACATCCAATAACACTCACTTACCACACATTTATCTATCTCTTTTATTAATGAACCCTTTTCATTCCTTTCATGAAAGAACCACTGAACACTGCACCATGAAATACCACTCAGAAAGGATTCAGAATGTTTGTGTTGTTACATATAGTCTAATTGCGATGTAATTAATGCAAGACAGTTTTTCGTCCGTTCCTTTAGCCTCTCACAACCCCGTTCATCTCCACAGAAACATGAGAGTGACGTTTTTACTTCAATTTTAAGTGGTCCGAGCCGACAGCCGACTTTTAATGGCGCAGAATGTGTTTAATGAGATGACGGACGTGCAAAGATAATTAGGTGTCTTCTTAGAAAGGCCGGGAATGAGACTTCCTGTTTTCCTCCTTCTAGAGAGGATAAACGTCTTGTATTTTACATGTTAATATCACCATATAACCCCTATAATAACTATAAAGATATACTTGCTGACTTTTTGAAGTATCAAGGAACCACACATGATTAATGTTTCATACATAGATGTGGGTGAACTTTCAAATGAAACACAGCCAACGGGACATTCGTATTTCCTTCAGTTCTCTCAAGAATCAACCGTGATGGTGAAATATTTATTCGTTAATATGTAAAAGCATTGACGAAATACAGCTCGATATTTCATTTAAAACTACAAAAATTATTATTGCAAAAATTTAACATGTGGAAGATTAGAAAACGTAAATGTTCGAGAATATTTAACTCGAATTAGGGAATTAAAATTAATGTAATGAGGAAATGCACGTTAGAAATTAGTTTTGATATAAAAGTTTTACTTTTCAAATGGAAATCTAGGCATTTGGAAATTAGAATACGACGTACTATATTACGTGATATGCTTCCTAGAAATTAAAAAAATTAAGTTTGTTAAAAAAAACTTCCTCTTGACACATTGTTTCCTTGGACCTCGGAAAATGGCTCGGATGAAGGTCATGAGGTTTCGTCTTTACAAAGAACAAAAGCGCTGACTTTTTTTTAATTTTTGGAGTCCGCTTGACGCTGCTCTTCGTCCTGTTTTTACTGATGAGGTGGATCTCAGAGACTCGATTCATTGTCACATGCAGCTATTATACGATAATTATTATTTAGGCAGTAACCTTTTAATTCTCTATCTTAAGAGCTCATGGCTAGGAGGAAGAGAAGGAAGGAACTAAGGAAGTAAAACAGTGTTTCGGAATTTTGAGGAAATGTTTAATAGTTTTTAAGACTATTTTAATGAACTTTGTGGACAATTGTTTACCAGTTTTGTGCATTTCAAGTTTTATTTTTGATTTTTTAATGTATTTTTTTTAATCTACTTTTTAGTACCTCTCTTCAATTTATTTATTTTATTTTTATTTGAAGAAAAGCACTTTTTTAATACTTCCTCATTTGCTTTTTATTCTGTACTTGTTAGTTGCGAGGTCATAATATTCTGAGAACGAGTGTCAGTTTAAACCAAATTTCAACAAACGTGAGAGTCATTTCCTTGAGTAAAATTTGCAATCTTATGCAATGTTCGGAGGAACTCACGTGATATAAATTGCTTATGTCATGTTACAATTAATTTTCAGATGGATGAAGATTCATTCATTTGTAAAATACCTAAAAATGCATTCATTCATTCATTTGTCGTAAAGTATTAACGTAAACGCAGTAAACTTTTTACTGCGTTTATACTTTGTAGCTCTACGGACATAACTTATGAGATGTAGTATTACTTTGGATATAAATTACAACAAATATATAGTATGTAGTTAGGCGTCACTTCCATGAGTAAAAATTTGCATTCTTGCTGCGGTTGCTCGCGTAAACTTAATACGCTCACAGGAACGCAGATCATTGTTTTTGTTACAGAAGAATGCTTATGGGCATTATTGAAGATAATATGGATATTCTCACATATGTGCACCTTATTTTCAGGGTGATTTTTACTGTTAATGTGTGCTCTATGCATTTGTTAGTGTTGGTAAATTATTCACTTCACCCCGAACTTCATGCCCCCTCCACAACCCCCATATCACTAGCCCGCATGCGTTCAGTACCAGTAAGTAGTATATTCTGATGTAAACACAATAGCACATCTAGGTCACGAGCGAGCTGGACGGAGAGGAAAACACCCATCCAATCGGGAGATCTGTTACATCTTAAATTTACCCCTCAACTCGTGACGTTGAAGTGCCAGGGTTTAAATCGGAGTATATACTAGCAAGTCTATACTAGATCGTAGGAAAACGAGTACCATTTCAAGCGACATCATGAGGCGAAATTTGCATGTTATCCGGTGTTAGCTCCTGTATTCTGTAAATGTCGAAAATGTGTATCAGTGCTTATAAAGAAACGAAATTGAAAGAAGCCGAGAAAGTAACTACTGGTGCTACCACAATACATACGTACCAAAATATCTCTTTCCAACTCGCATTGTCCAGATGGATGGGATTATAATTATCAATTTCGGAGAACGTTGTCAACGGTTTAGGCGCTAGTGTTAACCGCAGACGGACAATGAGAATTTGCCGTCAATCGAGTTTTCGGTATGAAGTGCTCACAAAACGTGGAATGCTTGCAACACAATGTGATAGAAGAAG